GCAAGAAATGCCCCAAACAATATGTAGGAGAAACTAAGAATAATTTACGAACTCGCTTTAATGCTCATAGGTCAGACATCAAATTAAAGAAAGACAAGCCTGTTTCTAATCATTTCAACCTCGACGACCATTCAATAGACGATCTCACCCTAATCCCAATTGAGCGTATAGAAATTGACTTGCCCGAAGATGAAACTACCAAATTCCGTCAATCTAGGGAGGCCCATTGGATTGAGACATTGAATACAGCAAGACCTATAGGACTAAATATTCATCATAATGTAGGCATAGCACCCTTTGTTGTCCCGTTTAATACAACCAGCAATCGAGCAAGCAAGATAGTTCATGCCCACTATAAGAGCCTTCAAGAGAAATTCCCCCATGTCTATAAGCAGAAAATGATAGTTGCATATTCAAAAAATAAGAACTTAAATGATAATATTGTTCATAGTAAACTAAAAACAATCAGTACATAACAGATACTATACTTCTCGCCCATTGGGCGAGTTATTTTTTCTAATTTCAGATCAGAATAAGAACAGAAGAAAACCCAATATCAAGACCCTTAATCCTGATTTCTAAATAAAGTGTCTGCTCCACCCTAGGCCTGTACATTTGGGAGAATCAAACCCTCCCTTCCCCGAAATCCAACATCTATCAAATTCAAACTTAGTCAAGATCTTAATCAATTGAAAATTCTAGCCAGTATTGTGCTCACTTTTTCACAAATGTTGATGCATTTCCAAGAAGCCAAGGGAAATATCTCCTAAACCATTCATCCATAAATCGTTAAATTCGAAAATGTCAAAAATCTCATCAGTATAAATGATCACTTCAAATCTTATTAGACCAATTGAAAATTGTATCTGCTATTGTTCTCAGGAAAACAAATTTTAAAAAAGTCAAAGGCAAAAACTCGAAAAGCATTAATCGAAAAACCGTTAAATTTGAAATCGTCAAAATTTCATTTCAACCGACAGGCAACGGCAGTGTACGTCCATATTTTCACGTGCAATATTTAATAAAACATCACATACCATCATTAGATACCCAACATTTTGGCAAAAAAAGTTTGACTTCCTGAACAAACTACAGAAAAATGGTAAGATTGATGAAATCAAAACCTTTTTGACCAAACGTTGGGTATTTAAGGATGGTATTTGATGCCATGTCTTGTTATTTATTACACCAAGTTCATTATACAATAAAAAGATAGCTTGACAGACAAGGTAATATACGCCCACTGGCAGCTGTGATTTTGAATAGAAATATTTGGTAGTACAGTTACAATTACCAGTATGAAATATTTACCCTTCAGTCATACCCTTCTTTTGAACTTTTTTGTCATCGTACCTTCATGTTTACGAGCTAAAACTGAAAGTGTTTTCAAGAACGAGGTCAATAACTTAACCAATTTTCGTCATAATCTGTCAATCATTGTGTTTTCTGATTTTCATGCCAAAATGAAAGCATTTCTAAGAAGGGTAATAACTCAAATTTAATCTCAATAGGGTACATCCTTAAGAGATTACAAATACTCACACCAAGTAATTTCAATATCTGTTAAGCGTTTACGAGCTCAAAACTGGATGCGTTGTCAAGAACAAAGGCAATAACTCATACTAAATAATTTTCGATTTTTCTGATTTTTCCATTAGGTTCCTCCTTCGGTGATTACAAACACTTACACAAAGTTTCGTCAAAAGAAAAGTGTTTACGAGCAATTGTGGACTGACAGACAGATATCATAAAATCTTCTGTGATTGGTTATTGCTGCCTGCTTTTTCTCTTGAAAGTGAACCTCAACTATATTTCACAATTAGAATTTGCAACAAACAATTACCTAAGGTCATCTTTCCACTGATAATTTCTGGATCTTTTTTCAAGTCACCCAATGCTGCCAGAGGTAGACCCCAATTTGCAACTGAAAATAAAAATAATTTACCAGACTAGTTAACAAAACCAGATCACAAGCAATTTGATTGCAAATATAAAAGTAATTTTCAAAATGGTTCCTTGAGTGATGAAAATCTGACAATATTTGTGTGATTTAAGAATTCATACCAGTTAACTGATTTTTTCACTTCGATTATTGCTTGGCTTATTCAGAAAAAGATGATATATTTTGTCTCAAAGAATCTAATTGACCCAAGCTATAGGTGGTACTAGTTATTCAAACCCAATCAAATTAGAATAAGATACAAATTCTGTCCCTTTAAATCAAAATACAGAACGTTAAAAGATTACAGATTATTATGAAATATAACATCTAGTTAGTGTAAAGCTTACCTGGACCCCAGAAATGCTGAAAAATAAAAAATTAAATTATCATAAATAACATAACTTGCCAGTCTACAATTCTAAATAGTGATAGATAGCTGCATTTGCATTTTTGCATCTAGGACAGCAAATATTATGGAAATTACATCCCATTAAGAGACAACTCAAGGTATCATCAAGGTGTATCTGAGAATTTTATTCACCAGTTTACATTGATTTGGATCGGTTGCTGTCCATCCATCTAATTTAAAATATTTTGGAAAATAATAATAATATTTACACAGGAGTAGTAGGAGTAGGAGTAGCCACCTTTTAAATGCCACCTTTAAAAGCTTCCTTAGTTAAGCCCAATGCAGACGAGGAACATTTTAAACGAACAATCGTAAAAATTTTGTTTCGATCATTTTTTTCACCGTATGCGGATTACAGAAACACGAACAAAAATGTTTGTGAGAATTGTTCGTGAAATCAAACAATTCTTTGTTCGCGGTCTGCGTTAACAACGAACATCAGCGCCGAAAATTCATCGACGAAAAAGCAATCAGCGATCGAAGCCAGCGACATCCAGTGAATCCACCAACACAAAATTTTTGACTGTGGAGAAGGAGCAGATGCCCGAATGTCATAACATATCCATTAGCCGAAAATCTCACCCAACATCGGGTAAAAACAGTACATGCCTTAAATTAAACTGAATACTCGTGGATCTCCTAAGGGGGGTAGTATCAGGTGTTCTAGAAAGAGTGAAAATACTCTGCCAATAACAATAGTGTTTCTCTCGAAGAGTTTGCAAAACTCTCATAACTAAGTTAGAGATTCGGGCAACCTCAGATATTTCACCCCCCCTGGGACATAAACCTGGCTCCGCCACTGCTTCTCCACAGTCCAAAATTTTGTGTTGGTAGATTCACTGTACGTCGCCATTTTGAGTGTCATGTGGTCTGGCTTCGATCGCTGATTGTCTTTCGTCGATAAATGTTCGGCGCTAATTTCGTCGTTAACGCAGACGGCGAACAAAGGATTGGTTGGGAGGCGAACAATTTTAAAAAATCAAACATGTTTGATTTCACGAACAATTCTCACGAACACTTTTGTTCGTGTTTCTGTAATCCGCAGACGGTGAAAAAAATGATCGAAACAAAATTTTTACGATTGTTCGCTTAAAATGTTCCTCGTCTGCGTGGGGCTTAAGTAAAATCATCTAGACTATAAAATTCACAAGGCTGACTTCAATCGGGTCATCATCACAATCATCTCTACATTAAGTGTACTTACTGTGCTGTTAAGTTGTGAACACAATACAAACAAGGTAACCATCAAAACCAAATATGGAAGAAAAAAAAAGAGAAAAGAAAACATGAACAAAGTATCTTCAGAAAAGATTTCTATTTTAATCTAAACCATTCCATTAAGCCTGCTGCAGATGCAAATAAGTGGCTGAGCTGTCTGCCTCAAGAGGTTGGGAGATCAGCTGTTTCCCGAAATAATCCAATTTTTTCAAGAAATGCATTGTTTATATTGATGACATTGACGGAGTAAAACGCATTAAATTCGACATGAAGACACAATAAATGAACAATTTAACAAGTTTCATCAAAATCTGTCAAGGATTGTACTTATGCCAGTTTTTTTTAGTAAAATTGAATGTATAGAAAAGTGCGGAAGCATATTAGGGCCATTCATTTTTTCAAGTTAGTATGTTGAATTTTCAAGCTAGTATTTTCAAGCTAGTATTTTCAAGCTGGTATGTTGAATTTTCAAGCTAGTATTTTCAAGTTAGTGTGTTGAATTTTCAAGTTAGTATGTTGAATTTTCAAGCTAGTATTGTTGAATTTTCAAGCTAGTATGTTGAATTTTCAAGTTAGTATGCTGAATTTTCAAGTTAGTATGTGGAATTTTCAAGTTAGTATGTTGAATTTTCAAGTTAGTATGTTGAATTTAGTAACTTAACTTTAGATCAATAATTCTTTCGGATTCATAATGCTGAGATCCCGAGCTTTCCAGTGATATGCAACAAGTCTATGTAAAATAAATATTTCGAAACTCCATGACATGTCTGTTAAAGTAACATTCTCGCCAATTTCTATAAGAAATGCACAATGTCAAGTTTTGTCAATGTCAATGTCAATATAAGGACGTTCTAGGGTGGATCAAAAGGTATCATGCAAGTTGAGCTTACTGAAGCACCTCAAACCACGCAATCGGCTTAATTGACCCACTTTCTTATTCATTGTCCGAATTTCTTCAAACTTGGTATATACTAGTAAATTCTATTTGTGATCTGCAGGAAAATATTGAATTGTTGTGTGCATGTGCTTTCCCAACTTTCTTATTTCTTATCCAACTTTAATCCGATTTTAAATTTGATCGAAATATTGAATTTTGTTGTATGCATGGGCATAACTTACTTTCTTATACAAATTTCATCAAACTTGGTCTTAATTAATTTACAAACGTTCTTTTATTCTTAGTCAATATACATTAAACTCCAGGCACTTTCGCATATTTTCATTTAGAGATGTAGAAAAGTATTTACATCAATGTAATTGCAATAGATCATCTTCATAATTATGTACCTGAATGTCATAACACGCCCTGCATCAGTACTGTTAATAGGACAGAACTTCTAAATTTTGTTATCGAATTGTCGATTCTTTTTTTCTTTTTTTTTTTGTGCTGAGACTACAGAAGTTGCAACAACCATTCAACTTCTGTAGACCTTCTGTAGTGGCAACGTGTTACTTAAATATAATTTGGAACATTTTTGCAAAACCGGAAGTGCCACAGTTCAACATGTGCAAAAAGTCGAAAATTGGCTCTAGAAGGCACATTTTTGCATCGAATTTCTTCGGGTTTTCATTTTCACAATCTACCTGTAATTTCTGACCTGATAGCACTTGAAAAATTACGAAATCGAAAAATTTGTCGCTCACTTTTTTCGATCAAATTTTTCAATTTTTTTTGCAACTTTTTTGTTTTTGATCTGAAATTTTAAATGCAAAGAGACTTCACTAATGTAACTAATATGATACAGTCAAATTTTGTACGTCATTTCCGCTTTTAAACAGGAAAGCGACTGAATTTCAAATCTACTTCCCGTTAAAACTTCTAGTGTAATTTAAATAGGCCAATGAAATTTATGCTGATCGGTAGACAGAGTTATGACAAAAAAACGAAGAAAAAAATCTGGACCGGAAGTAATATTTTGGCCGTTATTTTGATTTTCCTGAAATGCGTCAAAATCCATTCCGAGATAACGGCTTATCCGATTTAGATGATTTGGTGTCAAATGAAAGTATATCTTTTGACCTGTATGATGTAGAATCTTTAAATTTGGTACACAAGATAACATTTTAAATATCAATTAACTTATGTCAAATAAATGAGGTGGGCGTGGCACATCCGGGTCAAATTAATCATTATTGACATTTTTGGCCAGAGGCATAAATGTCAAAGAATACATTTGTTCAAAATGGAACTTTGCATACAATTACCTCATGTTTTAAGCCACTTTGTATCAAAAGGTCAGTTGTTCCAGCTTCATAGTTCCAAAAAAGGAACAGGTTTTGGAAATTCAAAATTTTCATATTTTTGACCTTGACCTTTGTTGACCTTAACTTTTGTAGGATCAAACATCATTGGCACTTTTATATTTGCTGTCTTACCGTATATTTCCTGCTGTCTTACCGTATATTTCCCAAATATAATGCGCACCCAAATATAATGCGCAACCCTTCCTTTTCCCATTAAAATCGGGAAAAATCCATTTACCTGTGTATAACGCCCACCCCTTCTGTAAGGGGCCCATTTTGGGATAAAAACTGTGCATTATATTCGGAAATATACAGTATGTCAACTTCTGGTTATATGGCTGTGTGCAATTTGAAATTTTGATGACTTTTTTCTCTTCATCTTAACCTTTTTAGACCTTCTCCTTTACAAGATCAAAGATCATTGACCTTGGATGTATGCTGATACTTTCATTTGTGAGGTCTGGCGTCTACTTCTGGTATTGGAATCTTCTAAATAATGAAAATTTCTCAACTTTAGACTGTTCTTGCAATTGACCTAATTATCGTTGAAGGTTGCTACATTTGCAAAGTCCCACTCTGTGCCACGTGTGGCTATAGTTTTTTTTTTTTTTTTTCATAATGTTAGCCCATGGGTAATACTCAATAATTTTAGCTAAAAATTTATGCCTTCTAAAGTGTTACAAGAATATCTAATAAGAATTGGTCCTGCTGTTTTGCTAGTAAAATCTTGACCAATCGCAACAAAGCACTTGACGTCACGCTATGTTTGCGAACATAAACAAAACGAAAGCAGCGAGTCATTAAATGTCTTAAATATGGATGGTACAGAATTGAGTAAGATTTTTGATAAAGAATTGAAGCTGAGAGATTATTTAACCTTACTATGGAATATTTACTTGGAAATAATGTGTTTTTATCTCTTCAAACGTGGAATTGATATTGAAGGTGTGTGTTTGAAACTATATATTAAGAATTGAATCAAATTTCAAACTGAGATTAAATTTTTCACTAGTTTAAAATATGACAGATATATCTCAGTAGTTAATATATGTGAGGCCATGGACATAAATCTTGGCCAAAAGATCATATATATATCTTTTGACTTTAATGTACATAAATCTTATTCATAGCCACCATAACATCTATCACAAATAAAAGTATACTGAAATAGGCCAAATCACTGAGACTCCTAGCTTGTATGGAATAAAAAGGTTTGAGATCACTGATTATATATATATCTTGTAGGTGTTTTGCTAGTTTTAAAATAGTCGTAAAATAGTCTCTTAGTTCCTACACATAGTTTCTAAGATGTAACCTAACAGTTTTCTTCTACAGCCTTCTAATCCATACAAACTTGATCAGCAGAGGATGTTTACTTAATTTCCATATTTGGATATAATTAGACCTGATGTCATGTCAAGATGGGTTCAGTTTCGTAAAGACACCAAAAGTTATGCCAAATTTGACTTGTCATATTCAATTAAAATGTGACATTTTACGTCTGGTCCTAAAGGTACCATCTGTATATCACATTTGAGGAACGGTAAGGGCTAGATTTGTCAGACCGTGTCACTATCATTTTAATCTATTCATTTTCTAGCCCCTTTGAATTATTTGAAATATGGTTCGAATGAAAGATTTCTTGACAGCTAAAAATTGAAAGAAGAGCAAGCCTATGATAATGCCACTGTTTTGATGAAATGTCCCTCATTGCACGCTGCATGGTTGCTGTTATTCATAAGTAGAATCGAGAGAAGGAAGGTGGGATATAAAAACCCTTTTTATACAGTCATTAATTTGCCTTAATTTCATTTTTTCACCATAGGTTCAATAATTCATTATTAGGTTCAATTAAACCTAATACATGTAAAAAAAATACTAATTTCAAAGGCATCAGACAATACAGTCTGAAGACTACCCTGTCTGTCTATTATACAACAAAATTCTGACATATACTGTTGCCTCCTTTATTGCGTTCACAACCACATTTTATATAATATAAGTGTATCATTAAAATCATACCTAACAAAACTTTCATTGAAAAATCATCAATTTCGTAAGAGATCTCAATAATATAAATGATTACAACAAATTTCATTAAAATCAGATGAAAACTGTAGTCTCTATAGTGTTCACAAACAATTTTTGACACATTTTTACTAAGTCAAGGGCAATAAATCAAATTCTGTTCAACATAGAATCGTCAACTTCGAACTTGACCACTACCTCATAGTTCTAAACGATCACACAAAATTCATTTTTTAACTGTAGTCTCTATTGTATTTACATACAAACTTTTACACACTTTTACTTAGGTAAGGGCAATAACTCAAAAAACATTCATCAAAAAATCCATATTGAAACATTGTCATAGCTGGACTGAAAGTTTTCCGAACACTAAGTTTGTAATCTGGCCTAATTGTAGGCATGCTTACTTGTCTCCTATCTATTCTAAAGGTTTCAATTGATAACATTGAGCTGTTATAAAGCCAAACCTAGATCAAACTGCTTAATTAACAATTAATACTCTCCATTTTAAAAAAAACTCTTTTAAAACAAATTCAGTTTGATACATGAATAGATATAAATAGCATAGCCTACTTAAGAAATATTTATGTATAATTTACGACATTTTTCTTAATGAAAATTTTGCATAAAAAGCAAATCTAATTACAATTCCAACACTGCTGCTTTATTACATATTTGTACAGGTGTCGGCTGGAGTATAGTCAGAAAAAAAAAGCTCTGTTAAATGGGGCTTTTCCACTACTCCGAAGATGCGTTTCCTTTACATAATTTTAAATTACCTTTACGGTAACTGTAACTTAGTGTTGGGCATCACCGCTACTTTCGTTTTGTTATTATCATGTGACTCTCCGACCTTTGAAATTTTGGCTGTGCATGCAATTTAAAATGGTGGATGTGAAATTAGTTTCGTTAAAAAAACTTTGACAAAACCTGAGACGTGGATACATGGTGTAGGGAGAAAATGATGGTATGACTGAATTACAAAAGTATTTATCTTTCCAAATATATCTGGGTTTGGCTGATCCCAGGTATTTAAATAGGTTTAAAACCCCAGCACCTTAGGAGATGCAGAAAGGTCCCATTTAACACAGCCTATTTTTTCTGACTCTACATCAGCCTACATCTGTCCAAATAGCTATCAGAGACTGGAATAGAGACAGGTGCTAGGCGTAAAAAGGGGTCGTGGGTTCAGATCCTCCTTTCAGTACAGTCGAGTAACCTAATTTCGTGGAAACCTATTATTCGTGGATTTCCAGAAAGGATTTCCAGAAAGGATTAATAATTTACATGAGCGACCTTGCTCGACCTCCGCATTAGTTTGTTTTGATAAACATGGGTTTTCTCTACAATATCAGCTAGTAGAATGAATCAGTAGTTTCAAGCAAGGTAAAATGTATTAATGTATACTTTGACAATTACAAAATGGCGGATTTCAGTTATTACCAAACGTCACCATTTTTTATCGGTTGAATTTCTTTATAATCCCAAGCGGTAATCGGAATTCCAAGTGTCGTCTGCTAGAATGTAGTCCAACAAATGTCACGTGATCAACTAGCGGATTCCGTGTCAGCAGAAAATTTCTACGGAACACAAAGTGGACCATATTCTTATGTTGTTTCAGTGAACTTTAGCAATAAATCACGCTACGTATCTTATTTTGTCAGTCACTATTTTTTTTTAAAAATCGTGGTTCTTTGAAGGAATTGTCACTATTTATAATGAATTGATATTAAAGATAAATACTAAGAGAAGTTAATTATTCCACCCAGTATCCATACAATGTATTTTTCTAGACTTATTTATAGATCAAACATTGTACACGAAAATAGGTGACGCATTCTGCCGCCGTTGCCGAGGTGGTTGCTCATGAAATATAGGTCAAAGTGGAGGATTAATAAAGAAAATCGAAATAAACCAATTTTAATTATTTTAAGGAATATCTTAGGAAACATCTAAGACATAAATTTTTTTTTTCGTTTTCTTAACTTTGACGAAATTCGGTGTTGAATCCTTATATCCACGAAAATAGGTTACACCACTGTACTGGTAAGAAAAATTATGAAGCCTCCGCAAATGCTTCTGAGAGTTGACGGCGAGTCGGCTCTCACCCCTAATACCAGATAGAATAGGATATAAATAATTTATAAATGGGGGCACGAATTTGCTTTGAGTCTGGGTAAATCTGATCGCATCCTTTTAAATTTTGATTCTACCTGTAATTTTTCTTGTGTCTACCGTAGGGTACAATAATACAAAATACATTCACATTCTGTAATGTTCTTGGCACCTCAGAAATGTTTACACATACGATAGCTCGTTTATTAATTTATTGGCCATCAGAATAACCTCAAAAGAGAACAAAGAAAAGGTGCGATACATACCTGCATAAATAATCTCTAAAATCTTTGCTTGAGACATAATTTAGTCCCTTCTTGATTAGAGGGCCAGCCATGGTCCAATAATAAAGTGAAAGTTTTTCAGATGGCCTTGAACATTAGACGGTGTAAGGTCAGTCTTCTGTACTTCTAAAAATATCCACCATAGACTTATTATCCCCCTTGAAAGATATGCTCCAGACAACAATTTTGTATTCATTTTATCTCGCAATCTTTTTTTACCTCTAAATTAAAGCGGTATCCAGTTCATCATGTCCAAACCACGTCTCCATTCGTCATAATTGGAGTTAATAACATTATGTTAAAACCCGTATTAGTGATACGATGTGTCCTGTTATGCCTTTTGCTTGACGGTAGGCCCTATACTACCTGCTATGATGGCCAAAAAAATTGAATTGTTTAAACTTAGCCAAAGCGAGTCTTTTGTTCATCAGTAGACTATCAAAACTAGGCCTCAACACAAACTCTCTCTATAATCCACTAAATCCATAAAATTAAGCAGGACTAATAATCCATTACAGGGACAGAGGTGCCGTTTTCGGTAGTTGATTTGGATTTGACTTGAATATGCAAATAGGCCTAGTGTTCAGAACTACTAAAACCGTACGAAAATAGCACCATTTCTTCAAATAGACCCCAAGGGACTTTTTATTTAGGCTATTTCGTTCACAGGCTTATCTTCTATCTCGAAAATTGGGGTACGCCTTAGACCCCTAAGTCAGTCAGAAATGAAAGTGTGACTGCATGACTCCAGTAGATTGTGACTGACTGAAAAAAATGCGACTTATTTTTTCAACTGCTATACTTTAGTCTCAGAAATGGGATTTTTTTTAGCTAAGTCAATCAGTAATGGTGTTCACAGCTCACCGTCGAAATTTGAGGGTTCAAATGTTTAAATGACAACTCGTCATTCTAAGATACTCTGTGATTTATTGTAAAGCTTATAGAAATAATGAGTATAAAATTCATAGTTTGACATATCTTGCGATTTTCGTTCATTTCTAGTAGCCTACTTCTGAAGACTATTTACATGCATAGATGCTGCTCACACTCCGACAACCCCGGGGCATAGTAGAAGTAGGCCTATCCAACGTCATCAACAAATATTCAAGTCTGTTAAAATGACAACTCCTGATCACTATTAGCTTGATTTTAGACTCCTCTTGAGCTTGATGTGTTGTAATTGAAAATTGTTACGGCTGTAAGGCTCAAGTCGAAAGACAGTAAGCTGTGAATAACAGGTATTACTGATTAGTCTTGTTCGCCGATTCCAATCTTGATTAAAATCTCACTTCCACGACAAAATTATCGCGCCGACAGAATTTTTAATATTTAAAATGTTTGATATTTGTTGTGGATTGTTTTAGCCTCATTATAGATTCAGTTTGCTCGAATTACATAATCCGCACGTGATTATCGACATAGTGGAAAACGACTGACCGGAGATTTTCTGTCTCCTTGTGTGCCCACAGTGAAATTCGTGACAAAACTCTAGTCGTTGATAAAATCGGCGATCAAGATCGTTCGTGTGCCCGCATCATTAGCAGTAGGCCTACAGTTTATGTTTCTGAGACTAAGGTATGATTTTTTCCCGGAAAGCCCGCATCTGTCCCTTTAAACTAAGTAATTTTGAAACGTGTTTTTCAACAATAACTTATTTTTATGTATAGAGAGTCATTGACACTTGGTATGTCAAACGTATGAATATAATTCTACACTTATTGCCAAGTTAAGTAGTCCCATTCCTTTAATATACAATATGCAGTTATACTAGGCCTACTACATTTTGAATTGTCACTGGAAAATTTATTATTTGTACACATGATGTTTCAGAGGAAAATTTTTAGTCCAAAAAGTAGGTCATTTTCAAATGAACTTTGTATAGGAGGGAAAATTTAAAGTCACCGAACCATATATTTTTATGGACCCGAAAATAGGTACAAATAGGGGTCTGACTGACTCTTGTCTTGGAGGTCAACTGTCGAGGCTGAATTCAAATTTTGGCTTCTCTGTGGTGGTATCATAGTCGCAAGCCTCTTTTATAGCGTCTTAGAGGGTTCTCTCAAGAAAATTTTAGAAAAAATTACTTGATTTGGTTCATTCTGATACATATTTTGAAGAAAAAAAGGCAGACATTTAGATTTGTTGAAAATTAAGTGGGGGTACAATTAGGGGTGCAAACCACTTTTCTAGGGTGGGTTTTAAAAGTCAACCGCCTACCGCTGCCAACCGGCATACCGGGGTGAAAAAAAGGCGCTAAAATGAGCATTGTTAAATTTAAGGATCGTACATTTTCATACTACAAAACGAAACTATTCAATTTGACGGAATTTTTGTTGACGTCAATATTATGGAATCAAAATTATTAAAAAAAACGAAACAAATTAATATTTCTTTTTGCTTTGAGATATTTTCCCTCACATTTTCTGATTCAATTCGTATTTAGAATAGCAATAATCAATCTCTTTTAAAAATAAAATGGGGCACACAATAAAACGTACAAAAACCTCTAGATTTTTTTTAATGATCACAACGACTGAACAAGGTCGTTTGTTTCAGAGTTACTTCCCTTAACTTTTTACTGTCGTCGGGAATATGGAGCATCAAGGCCAAGGAATCTTTCTTCCACCTATAAGAATATTTTCAAAATTAATCCTTGACGTAGACTGTAATAATTCTGCGAATGCTCCTCCTGTTAATCCAACAGAATCATCGATATATCGATGGCTAAGAGCACAAATCGTATAAGTCCTTTTTTCTTGTTTTGAGATATTCGCATTTTAAAGTTTTAAACAATTCGTACCAGCACATATTTAGAGATAGATTCACAATATTTTGATAATACAATGCATATGGCATACTGTTATAGTTTCGCAAACAAAATTTTACTGAAATTGTTTTTTGAGGGGGTGGGGACACTTAATTGGACATATTCTGATTGTGTACTGAATAATTCGTAAAAACTGTGGACTTATCCCATTTTGTCTGCTCTATAACAGTGAATATTTCATGAAATCAAAGAGACTTAGTTTTTCATCTTCACCTAGAATTCAAAAAGGATATAGTTTCTGCTTTCTGCGATCAATAAAATTGCTTAATCTCTATCAGAAACAAAAAAGACCGAGTAATTCCATTTTCCTTCATTCATTTTATTGTTAACGTTGTAAAAGAGTAGACCATTTTAACAGTCAATTTGCTTATTTTTAAAGGTGATAATAATACTATGAATTAAATGTAACATTTTTATTGCTTAAAGCACAAAAATTGATTAACAGAACATAATAGAACCAACCGAATTAAACAGTTCATCTCACAATAATTGTAATAGTATTGTCAGTCGGTATCATCATCATTATCAGTGACGTTTGTCAACCGTCTTAAAGATGGGAGATCATAATAAAATTGATAGTAATTGGGTGGAATCACTCTTGATGACAGTAAACTCACAAGATCTGATTTCTTGGCATTGGAAACACTATCTGTGTATAAAGGCACATGTTTTGTGGCCCTTTCAATCGCAGAGTGCATGGAGTCCACTTCCATATAACTGTGGCCGGATTCCATGAACTTTAAGTCAATGATTTCGAGCGTTTTTAAACTCTGAACTGCATAAAGCATGGCTGATGCGACATACTGATTTCGGTTTTGACCTGAACAGGTATCAGAAAATGAAGCAACATGGGTGACGCTATCTGGCAGATTTTGGAAATAATGCAAAAGTGATGTGCTTATTTCTGAGGAGCCTCGTTGCCCTTCACACTCATTCCAGAGATAGCAAATTCCGTCCGAAGAGTGGGCCTCATAAATTGTAAAATTATACACTGAGAGTTTTCGCTTATAGTAAATTTGTGCGTCTCCAGCATGTGGTAAATTCAGAACGGCCTGTAAATCAAATGATATTGAACTGAAGGATTTGTCTAATTTGGCTTGTTCTTTGTCATGCCTTTTTTCGTCTAAGGCCTCATTTTCACGCCTTTTATGCTCTTCCCAATCTGATTTAAGACTTTATTTATCATCACCTACTGCATTATAATAGCCATTGCATATGGAACATTGATCCTTTTTGGGTCTGAAGAATCTCAAGTTGAAATCATTGAGAAAAACTTTTCTATACTTGCTGCTTGAGACTGGATCATTTATCGACATTCTTGGACAAAAGTCGTTGACATAGAGATCATACATTTTACTGATGGTCAAATCACACCGAAGGTAATGAGCCTTTGTCTGTTTCCGACAGTAGTGGGATTCAAGGATGTGATGTGGGTCTTAACATTTGCGATCCTTTCAGACTTGATCTTGTTCCCTGGTGTCTTTGCTGGTGTGCCATCATCGCTAGAATAATTGCCAGAGGAATCAATAGATGTGATTGCTGTAGTGATTGCTGAATGGCCTATATTTAAAGTGCTCTGAAAAAACTTTTTACATACTCGATATTCGCTACAGTGTTTCACAAATGAGTATTCACATGATTTGTTCTTCTTGCTTTTGTTATGCCTACTACGATGTCGATGGACCTTTAAAACTTTCACACGTTTACATAAAAAAATCTTTCTGTCTTGCATTATCAGCCAAAGCATAATATTCACCACAAATGCGTTTTCTTTCATCTTCATTAAACAACGTACTACACTTGAAACGACAGTTCAGACAGTTTACTGGCTTTGGTCCTTTTTGTGGTACCCGTTTCCCTCGACGGGTTACATATGACTCGCCTTTAACCCTCTTGCGATGTCGAACATTTCGTTGCCATTGAGACGGGTCCCGCTTTCTTTTCCTAGATCTTGGTGTTTCTTGATCACAGGGGCCAGCTATTGGAACCTCTTGCGGAACAAGATCACTTTGAAATGACACATGTTTTTCATCACTATCGCTATCAGAGGTTTCTGATTCTGGGATGTATGTCTCATCTGCTCTGTCATCAACATCATCATCTTGACAAGAAAAATCTTCATCTGATTTTGGATCTTCATTTTCATTAATCAGCTTAAGGCTTTCTACAATGACTTGATCTACCGATTTTGATTCAACTTCAACTTCATTCTGTATTTCATCGGGCCAGAACTGATCACTCCCAGTGTACCATCACTTTGTGGAGTATTTTCATCCAACATATTCAACACTGAGTCAATTGTGAAGAGCTTATCCATGTCTACAATACAGAAAAAGAAATCTCATTGATTTCAGGCTATAACAAGGCTCTTCACATGTGACCTGGGTCATTTCACTTGCGACCTGACTTATGCTTATCAAAAAATCACCAGTGTGTATCAACAATGTGCCTTGACTTCATTTAAATTGTATAGAGTAATCGAAGAAGACTTATAATGACACAAAAAACACTAACCTTGTTTTTGTTTTCAAATTTAATGCACCAAAAACTTTTTCAACCATGTGCTTTTTGATGCGAAAATGGAATATGTCCACCAATAGAAATAAAAAAAGTTAAATATTTTGTGCACAAAGCGTATATGTCCGGACATATTCTATTTGTGCTTTAAGATATCAGACTTGTGGAGATAAACCAAATGGATCATTGGGATTATCTTCCCTTTTTAAAGGGATAAGGGTCAAACGAATATTATCATAAGATGCAGAATGATTTATTTTATACAATTGTTATAAAAAGTGAAAAATCACCAAAATGGACTTATACGGTCTGTGCTCTGAGCCATCGATATGTAGTGGATAAAAATCCTCACCAAGACTGGAAGCACACTTCCAGTACTTGGAAAAATCAGGTGTCCAAATATAGAACCTTTAAAGAAAGAGATGGGGGGACGAGACCACATGGTGATGATGGTTGGTTGATCGAAAAAGTTGCGGCGAAAGATGTGACTAATCATTGTGAAAATATTGGTGATTGTCATTTCATGAGGCAAATTATTATAAGCATGGCAATCCGAAGTATTCTGATGTCAGGAAGATGATAACTGAAATACAAACCTTTAAGGCTAAAGATAGAAAATTTGGTGAGTAGCCTCAAAAGAATACTTTTTCCATGTGTTCTCATTGCATACTATGTATAATAGTGATGAAATTGACGAAAACCCTGTTGCGTTCACCTGTCGGATGTAAAAAAGTCTAGCCTACATTACCCGATGATTATGAGCAAGTGTTTTTCGCCTACGAGAACGCACATGACCTAGTTGTGTCATTGTTAGTACCAGTGCTTGTGGTAAAAAATGTGCATCTCGGCTCAGTTTGATACTTTTTAAGATTTATTGGATTACACTTATTGAGAGATTCTGTTGTAAAATTAATACATGATGCTCCATGTTCCCGACGACAGAAAAAAGATAAGGGAAGTAACTCTGAAACAAACGACCTTGTATCGTTTCCTTTTTAAAATAATTTTGATTCTATAATATTGACGTCAACAAAAATTCCTTCAAATTGAATAGTTTCGTTTTGAAGTATTAAAATCTACGATCCTTAAATTTAACAATGCTCATTTTAGCGCCTTTTTTTCACTCCGGTATGCCGGTTGACTTTTAAAACCCACCCATTTTTCTAGGGGACACGCCTGTCCTCCCACTGTCGCCGCCACTACCCGAGACAAATGGCATGCAGTTGAAAATTTTGTTCTGATATTTATTGAAATGAGAGAAAAATTCAATTCAACGCTCAATGAAGTCAGATCGTAGAAACAAATGTAGTGACGATTTGACGCCAAATTTGCCATCATCTGCAGGTCACCCGACTAGCGTTACAGACTTAGCAAATTCCACGATTTTCATCATCCATTGCTCTTTGTGAACCTTGCAGACCTTATAATTAAGAATGGCGTTGTCCAATCGTCACATAGGAATGCTATGCCGAGATAACTTCAACTAGTGATCTCTTGCGAACTTGGGTTCTGACTAGACGATTCAGAAAACACTTGCCCTGAATTGTTATAAAACTCTCTGAAGTCTTAAAATACCACCTAAGTCATTTCTACTCTACAAGAGCACTCTTTAAGAAACTGGCGGCTTTAAAATAAGACAGAAGCACGATCGATCCAGCTTTTCAGACCGGTGTCTGACAGGGTTGGGTGGTATTGCATCGCAGTTTGCGTATCAAAATGATCTTATGATCAGCCAAAAATATAATTTGTCACGACAATCTGCAAATCAAATCAAAATTGTGTATTTGTCAGAAACATGTGGCAAGTCTCCGTGGTCTTATCTTTCTCTATAACCTTAATTCGAATTGGTCTGAGATATTGCTAATCGAATTTTAGCAATCTATATTGAACCCTAGTGTTAGAAGAGGTGGTGTCAAATGCCATTTTCAGCACTCCTGAAGCCTTGCATCAGAAGGAAAACCAAAAAATTGTGTTTCATTTTCTTCTCTAACTAAGGCTTCCATTTTCATCAAACTTGATAACCATGAACTATTATCTCTCTTTTGCCTATGAGATGGACATCCATATTCACATTAATGGATTTTGTTATTTGATCAGATCCTGACTACAGGCCGAAAGCCAAAAATGAATTACAAACTACAATACAACATTTTGTTTATAAATACCTAAAATAGCGAAATATATGTCTGTTTTAACCTTGAAGGAGGACCACATAGGTCCAGAAAGCCAAACGGTTTGAATTATAAGGAAGGCGTCAGTCTTTAATTATATATAAAAAGTTTTGTAAAATATGTTATTTCTATCTTTGTATCTACTTTTTCAGGTAACCTATTAAATACATATATAAGAATAGCTTGAAATATAAAGGCCCCTGTTTATGGAACTCTTTACCTTTACTCTGTTTTGTCTGGCAAAATTTAAAAAACAACTCTTTTCTTTCTTGAAAAAATGGAACAACCTAATCAGATGAATGATAAATGTATACAACTGTTAAAAGTTCTACTGCTTTTGTGATTGTAGTTTTGTTGTTTTTAGTTTCCTTTGTATTATGTGCTGTGTTCCTTTGAAGGGCAAAATTGTAAAAAGGCCAGGCCTAATTTTCATGCTAATAAAGATTTTATTACTATTATTATTAATCAAAATACATAGTGTACTAATAAGTAGAAGGCACATTTCTCTACATTTTGTTAGTTTTCAGCACCAACCAAAAAACAGACAACGCAACTTCAAAAGGGTTTTCGTTAACCTTTTAAACGGACAGGTGTGCCATTTTGGGGGGTTGACTTTAGTCTTGACTATATGTACATAGTCTTCAGAAATACTAGAAATGTATGAAAATCACATAATTCCAAACTATGAATTTTACTCACTATTTCTAGATATGTCTTTTCTATATATATTGACGAGTCATCATTTTAACATTCAAACTCAGATGATGCTGGACAGACATGGATTTGGAGGCTCAAATTTCAATGGTGAGCTGTGAATGATATTACCGATTAGCTCAGCTAAAAAAAATCCAGTTTCTGAGACTAAAGTATAATGGTCAAAAAAATGACCTACCTGTCCCTTTAACTAGTTTTGGCAAGATACTTTTAGTTCAAACTTACAGATAAGGTTAGGGACACATTTCTCATTTAGTTTATAGTTTTCATCAATTTGACCACTTAATTTTTCCAACCTACACACGTGTGCAGCTACACTTATTTCCACCTGATTGGAACACATTTCAGCTGAGAATATAAACTTTGAAGAACTATTCGGCATCTGCAGGCCTGGATTCCAAAACACCCACAAGATGAAATATATAACGCAAAACAACAGTGGATATAAAACAATATAATTTAATTTTATATTAGCTTGAGATTATATTGTGCTAAAATCTTAATGTTAATTCACAAATTGTTTTTTCCATTCCATACAATACCAAAATACATTACACACAGATTAACTACAGTATTATTACCACTGTCAAACCTGTTTTTGAAAATTATTGTGAATTCTTAGCTGGCAGGCAATGCAAAAATCCTGGACTATTTTAATCCAAAATCTTGAAATTATCATCATACTATATCTATAACATTGGTTTCTGTAAGCCTCTTGTTAATTCCCCATAAGGTGTGACAGAATTTTTCGTGTAGATTTCATTATCTTTCTGGTATTGAATTGACATATCACATAAACTCTACAAAATATAACATTCAAATTTCATTATTCAATTCCAATATATGGATTATATTTTAAAACAACCCCTGGAAAATTTCTTATGACACTCAGACAGTCCATACGATATTTCATTAGATTTGAATTATCATTTAACTTCTATTGTTGATTTAATACCTCCCTACACATTGATTAATCTGCACATTCAATTCAATTAAATCAAAACTGTGTTTGTCACATATAGGTTCTTTCTGCAAAATAGTGTCAGAGTTCGAAGAATGTTCTAAAATGATTAAATAATGAGCCAAATTTACATCTAAAATTATATTAATTACACATTTAACAGGCTGTCCAGCTCTCATTAACAAAAAAAGGATAATTTTTGGGATAAAACTATAAATTTTGGGACTTAAATAGGGCTAAAATTATGAATTATGAACTAAATCTGGGCCGTTTTAGACATTTAAAAGCATTACTTTCACACATTCAACACAAAATAAACTTCACAAAAATTCGAAAATTTTAAAAATGAGGTTTTATTCATTTGTATCTTAAACCATTCTAAACAGCATTCCTGTTGACGAGATACAACGATAGCTCCTCATGTACAAATACAAAAAAAAAGGAATTTACATAAAAAATCAGAACTCATATTCTCGGAGCAATCTTAGCGCTATGATGTCCTAGGGTCTTAACTTTAACATCCTACCGCTAAGATCGTTTCGAGAATACGTGGCTGGGGCTCTTTAAGGATTTCCCCTTGATTTCAACAGTTTAAAAGGAGTTTTAGCAAAACTGAAAAAATTTTTGGATTTTTAGGAATTGTAGGGCAGCTGTACAGCCTGATTAAATACAAAACTCATTCATTAGACAGTTTTACTATTTCCATTCATGATAATTCAAATATACCGGTATTTTGATTTAAATTGATTAGCCTGAATAGCTTATATATAAGAGTGTATCTAATATTTATAAACAATGGTAAGTAAAAGCCTATCAAAATGTTCTCTTACCTGAAAAGTACGAGGTTCGTAGATTGCTAACTTCTCTAACATAGTCTTATTTATTTGTACATCATTCTGAAAATATCATTAATGATTATATGTCCAAAACCTTATCAATTTCACTGATCACATGAATTACATTAATTAAATTCTCTTGCTTTTATTTCATTTACCAAAGTGTTCATATTAGAGTTATAATGAACAATTTCTTCAAAGTTTGTAAAAATTAATCAAGAATTGTAACTATGTCTTTACATACTACATAGCATTTCAAAGAAGAAGGGAAACAACACATATATATATATATAAATCCCTTTTTTTTTTTATCAAATTTTTGATTGAGTGATAATAATGAATTTGTCTAGAATTGTGCCTACTATAGTGTTCAGGAACAATAGAGGAAGCACCAATCAAAAGACATAAATTGAAGAAAGTGCATAAAATATGTTATGAATGTGCATCTAGCAAGCTAGTTCTTTGACAAATTATCTGCATCAGTCATATCATCATCTTGAGTTTGGTTTGATTAAGGCCATACCAAAATAATATTCTTTTCGTCGGAAAATTCCGTACCCGATTTTCCATTATCGAAATTTTATTTTTATAATTAAAAAATAATATTCGGTATGTATCAAAAGAGCTCCCGAATGTAAAATTTTGAAAAAAGAATTTTTAATTTTAAAAAAAAAATTATATTGCCCGTACCTCTAAATTGATCAGATAGCATGATTGTTTAGCTCTCATTTTTAGTTTCATTTTTATTTCTCTAAGCCTAAAATTTGGTAGCGGGAGTAACAAATTGCGCCCTCTATTTCCGTTTGTCAGTTTGTGGACATCGTGCGACAATTATAGTAGAACATGTTCCAGCTGTTGAAAGAGTGAGTTCGTACAGTAGTTTAGGCCCTTCGCTGAAGCAAGAATGTTTTCTCGACGACCGAACGCATCGAAATTCCGGAAGTTGATAATTATCAGAAATAGGCATGGCCGATGCAGTGCTAGAATTAATATTTGTATTTGTCTTTTTTACCAAAATGATTTTAGTAATCAAAATTAGATCACACCAGAAACTTATTTTGCCATACATGGCGTTTGATGTTGAGCCTGAAAACACTTTTAAAGATGCTTATGATCTGGCATCTGCAGGAATTTAATCGTGCATATCACATATCCTAGAAAAAGTGTACATCATGGACAATATGGAAAAATCAGGCGGTGTCTTAGTTACACTTTCGTTGAAAATTTCTCTGTGTGATGAACTGAAATCTAAGTTTGTGGACTTTTTAATTAACTTGCCTTCTCATTCTTTGTCTGAAGAACCTGTTTGTAATACTTCCAAAAGTGATAAAAATGTGTTCGATTTTATGATGGCATCAAGAAAGACATTAATGTTTCCTGAAAAACCTACACCACCAGTCTTTGACAAAACTTTAACTGGACCTCAAAAACTATTTTGTGATGTGCTAGATTGGTGCAAAACAATTGATGATGGCTGGTCAAAAGACCAGTTAATCTGTGCAAAAGAAATTTTGTGGAAGATTACAAATTTTTTGTGGTATGTCGATACGCACCATGACAAATTTAAAACAGCTAGTTGTGCCATACCAAAATGTTTTGGAGCCTTTACACCATAAATAAATACTATTAATTGTTATTTTATCTGAATACATTCAAAATCATCCATGCTGGAAAATTTTAATGGTACGAAGGGACTTTTTTTTTTGAAAAATTAAAAAATATTATATCGCACCAACCAAATCAATGATTACTAACTTTTAGACATTTTTTTTTTAAATTAAAAAATAAATTTCGTTCGCTCGTACCTTTTTTTTTTCAAGAAATCCCGAAGAACAGAAAATTATTTTGGTATGGCCTAAATGACAATTTTTAATATAAATAGCACAGGTAAATTTAGTGAAAAACAAAATTGACCATCATTGTTGATAATCACATTATAAACATACCTCATCTAGTGTTTTTAAAAATTCTTTGTAAATTACTCCATGTTCTGAGCAAGCAGCTTCCAAACGTGTTGTGTTCAACTAAGAAAATAAAACACACAAGTTATAGGATGATAATCTAGAGATTTCAGTTTAAGGGGTAAGCCTTAAAATGGCTTGATATTTTTTGTGGAAACAAATTTCTTAAAGCCTTGTTGAGGCACACCTAACAAAAAATAGGAAACCTCTTCTGATGAATAAATATTTTTTTTCAGCTTGATTTCACCCCCATTCACTTATTTATAAGTAGGCGCACCATGGGAATGGAATATGGTTGGCGATCAATATTAATTATCAAGATTTTTTTGGAGTCATTTCTCCCCCCGTCCCGCCCCCTCTTTGGCTGCACTACTGTTAAAGTGTAGAAACTAGGCTTTCCATCGAATGCCCCTGTCCAAAACACTAATGGTAATACTACATTCTGTTGAAAAATAAAAACAAGTCAATGAACTTTCAATATGAAAAAATACATTTACAATACAAAATGTCAGTAATTTATGGACAAGTTTAAAAACTTTGTTTATTTGGAAAATTAATCTATCTCTCTATCTCTGGTCATAATTTATTTAAAATACCTTAAGCTTAAAATAAAACTCCATTGAGGAGCCTTGGCTCAATTTATCAAAGAGTGATCATACAAATAATCTAGATTAATTGAGCACACTCACCTCTTTGAAAAATTCTTTTCTAGCAGATCCAGAAAATGTTGAATTTCTTAATGCTCTCTCAACTGTTCTAATCTGAATTCTGAAGCATGTTCTTCTCCTACCAAAGAAATGCTGGAAGAGATAACACAGATAGAAATAAATATTATAAAAGTGACCTTCACACCTCATATGCTAATGAAGATAGCATGAAATTCTAGTTTGTGTTGCTAACAAGTTGATTTTGTTGATTAACTTGTCCTACTAGACCACTGTGGATTCTGAATTGAATTTTTACTGTAGAAGTTAGCATGCAGTGGCTAGGGATTGGTCATCCAACCCTCAGGATGCTATTAGAGATCTTAATAGCAGGTTAAGAGCAATGAAGTTCTTCATACTTTGCACTTCACACAAATACAAAGAGTATAGTAATAACATTTGCAGATTAAACCTTCTATTTAACTACATCATATTTTGGGACATGTTCACTGTTATAACTGAACACTGAAGTTACAGAAATAGACTACCTAAAGCTAGACCATAAGTATTGAGGATAAATTCAGACCCAAAGGTATATGCACTGCTTTATCAGCTCAGGTTTACAATTTTCAATTTTCAAAAATATACAAAACTACACATTTACATGATTAACCTGTTAAATAGCATGAGCTAGTTTTGGTGCTGACATTAAAAGCTTCATATTTAAAGTAGGAGGGGTATTTTAGAACGCCAAAATTATCTAAAACTTTAATCCTTTTACATTCCCTATGTTTTATGGTTGACGTTGGAAGCAAAATTCATATTGAAATATTTTCAACTGACAACTAGTTTGAGCCTGTAATATACATCGTTTTAATAATGAACATTTTGCATAAAAAATCAGACTGCCCCTGGTGATTTCCATGTCTTTCTAGGACAATTCAAGCTACTTTGGATACAGCTACGGTGGTGATTGTTGCTATGCGATTCTCCATATTATGAATCACTCAACTAAGAAAGAAATAATGGGAAGGAATACCCTACATTGTTCGACTCCCTACATACTGTTTTGGTCCTCTCACGCTTTTCAGAGATTACTGACTCTTTAGATATTTCTAACAGTATTATTTGAATTGATTAGAACCATGCTTGTTGAATACTGACATTGCACACACACACAAACCCTCTAGATTTCTTTCTAAGTCTTTTTTCTTTAATGTATATCCCCCAACGCCATTTTTCTTACATTCTTAAATACTTATATATTCCTCTACAGTGTCTAGGATGAAGTCTTGCTCGTTTCAATAACTTTTATGCATTTATTCTTTAATGCCATTGAAATTTATTGATGATTCGTCACAATATGACATTTAATGATATATGTAGGCCTATTGTATCTTGTCCTGGTTGTGTACCATACACATACCAAGAATTAAGACCGATCTAGGTTTACATTATTTTATATAACATCCAAACACATGAAAAGTTCAATTTATAGTCTAACCAGTACTATACCTTAATTATCTATATAAATGTACAGCTGTGAAAATAAAACAAAAATTTCAAGACAAATTAGGCCTACTTCATTTGATCTATTTTCCATATTGTGATACCATTACATGTAAGGTTAACTCATAGCAGAATTATTTATTAGGCCTATTCATATTTTTATCATCATTTTTCACATCCATCATCACAAGTAGTAATGGCATTCTAAACACAAATCAGTGAAAAGTATGATTATTTCAGATCTTGTATGAACAGAAAGACATTCTGAGACATGACATGCAATCTGAAATTCTATTTTGAATACCATTAGTCTTGGATTGCCTTTGGGTTGATGAAAATGTCGACCACTGGTAAAGTTATTATTTGTAGACAGGATTTTACAGAGGCCAAGTAGGGACTTTTCAGTCCAAAAAGTACCGGTAGTCATTTTTACATGAATTTTCTGGGAGGGAAGAGTGTCTTTTTCAAATGTTAAATCACCAAACCTTCTAATTCTCTAGACAAAAAGACATTCTAAGACAAATGCCATAAAGTTTGAAATTTATTTTGAATAGGCTTCTTATTCTCTCATTTCATGAAAATGAAATTTTCAATCATAGTCCTTATGCTGTTTCTCTTAGAATGTCTTCAGGTTCATAGAAATAAGAGGTTCAGTGATTTTACTTTAGAAATAAACACACTTTCTTCCCAGAAAATTCAAATGTGACATGAAATGGCCCACTTTTCAGACTGAAAATTTCCCTTTGTAAAATTATTTTAACAATTAATATTTTTTTCAGTGTTTAACATTTTCATCAACCCAAAGACAATCTAAGACTCTCAGTAGCATTTTGTAATTGATATACCAATTCATATGAAAATAATTGCCAAAATTCAATTCAGAAAACAGTGTAGTCAGAGAGAAAGACAGACACTGAGACAGTAATCAGTCCAACTTACCCAAGCCAAACGCTTGTACATTTGTCTTTTCCATGAAATGTCATAACCCCCATAAGGGGTTGGTAAGTTCCTTAAAACTTGTCGCGTTAAGTGCATTTTTCTTGAGTAAAGCTAGGCCTTTCTCAAATCAAAACAAATCGTTCACACAGTAACATTTACATGTTAAGCCAACTGCAGACTCACATGGCAGGTTATCTGCCCTTGTTCCATAAGTCTGAAGTTATCTTACAGATAGTCACCATACAAAATTGGCAGTTTCCGTAAACATGAATATTACGTATCTGATAATGAATGGAGCTATTCGTGTTTTTTTTCTGGGGCGAACCTCTTTACTTCCGACATTTTACTAACAAGTTAGATTTATAGGAATATTGCGACCTGAATTTCACTATCTTGGTATAATTTGAATATATTCATTATACGAAGTTTTTGACATTTTTTTGTAATTAACCGTCGGCCTATTAAAAAGGAATTTTATATAGCTTAATTAGGCCTATTTACCGTCGGCCAGGGATCTCGGCATAGGTCGAGATAATTAGGATACCTTCGGATTTTTCAACCCAGTTTCCCCCGTCGGCGATGCAAGTTATATTCAATGTGGATAATATGTAATATCTCGGGGTATTGCAGTATGCAAGAACACAATTCAGTTTTATGTTTTATTAAACGTGTATTCAAAACCCTGAAATATATAATTACAAAATTAGTAATATAACACAACCTTTAAAATATATATTCAAATATCACAGATTTTTACAGAATATCATATCACAATGAATACAATGCAACTAGTAGTGAGCTGTCGGAAAGGGAGGTAACCTGGTGTCATAAAGTTACAACAGAATCCCTGGAAAATCTATGTCATTCCTATGATTATATTTTACATATTTCAAAAATTGAAATCGCAGCCCGAAAGTAGAGTTTAGAACTTTTTTTTACACAACCAAAAAAGGGCAATTCGGGCACAGATTTCAATTTTTTTCAATAAATATTTTATGACATACAATATTTGTTAAAAAAAAATGAAATCTGTGCCCGAATTGTCTTAAATAACAATAAAAATAGTGTTTCTCTCGAAGAGTTTGCAAAACTCTCATAACTAAGTTAGAAATTCGAGCAACCTCAGATATCTCGCCCCCCTGGGACGTAAACCTGGTTCCGCCACTGTTATTTATGACACCAGGTATATCTACTGGCTCTCATTCACCAAGTTTAAAATTCTTAAATTTTATGTTAATTCTAAGACGTAGTATAACTAACTTATATTAACTCAAAGAAGCTGAAATAAAGATGTAAGCTAATATAATTATATGTTATGTAATAAATAGTTAAAGATAAAGAGTAAAATAATAATATGAACTTATATAAATATGCAATCATACTCCCATAGACACCTACACTTCCCCACCCCCACCATTTCTAAACCAAGACAATATAAAATACACATACCTGAAAATATTGAAGAAGTATTACAGGAGTATCATACAGAGAATAGAAGAACATACAAAATCCTAATTGTATAAAAGTTAAAACATGGTGATTGTTCTCCCAGATCCAAGTGAGCATAAAGGAGAGGGGACAAAAACAAGCAAACATTGACTGTTGACAAGGAGATGCCGAAAAAGTGCTCACCCTGGTGTGAGCAATAAGGTTAGGCCTACCACATCAGAGCCAACCAGTCAAATTTAAGGATAAGATATATAGGAAGTGAAGAGTGTTAATCAATGATTGCTATGATAAAAAGTGCTCAATTAAAAGTATATTTGTGACCCTGCACATCGTATCAGACCGGTATTAAGTTGTACTGCCTCACGAGCTGGCAGTGAAGTATTAAAGGGGACTCAAATCTGGATATTAAATTGACTATATCTTCTGAAAGGAGAAAGCTATTAAGATTGAGTTGGTATCAAAATGTAGCTGATGATGCCAGGTATTCAAATATACTAATCGCTCTACATACACCAAATGCTACTTTTGTGACAAGCAATAGGTTTATGCAATCTCGATTGCTTCGTTCTCATCCACTATTACGACCTCTAACTCTTCTTCCGAGCTCTTTTGATCTTCGTCTTGCACAGCTATTTCTGTTCTATCCCTCTGGTGCCTTAATGTTGCTAATGTTGGCGCAGGTAGTTCCTTTTTTCAGTTAGATTTCTGACTAGGTTGCAATGTTCCAAGCATATCCAAGATAGTCCTGTTGAATCTTTCGCACAGTCCGTTGCCACGCGGATGGTAAGGTGTTGTTCGCGACTTCTGCATACCAGAAAGTAGACATAATTCCTCGATTATCTTGTCTTTGAAGCTTCCTCCTCTATCGCTGTGTATTCTCTTTGGGAATTCAAACAGGACAATAAAATTCTCCTAGAATACTCGTGCAGTGATATTTATTTTATTCATATTACGGGTAGCGATGGCTTGAGCATACCTGGTGAAGTTGTCAGTGATGACAAGTATGTAGGTATATCCACCTTCGACTCCTCTAAACTTAAGTAATCCATACTAACGAGTTCCATGGACTGACTGGTACGGATGTTGACAAGTGGTACTGTTCGTTGATCTTTTCCTCATTAGGCATCTAGGACATTTCTTGATGTACTCCTCAACATCTGTGCTCTAGGCCAATAGACATGTTCCCTAAGAAGAGTTAAGGTTCTTAAGTGACCTATGTCATCGTGAAGTCCTTGAAGTGCCGTCTTCCTATCCAGCTTTGATAAAACTAGGTGAAGTACTTTGTCTCCTCCGATCGTAACTTTACGGTATAGGATATCGGACAACAAAATTAGATGGTTGAATTCTTTCAATAATATCGCTTCCTCTGATGATGTAGGTGGTGTAATCGCCAGTCTTTATTGATTACAGGACAATGGAACAAACGAGGTTATTTCTTGGTTTGGTTACTTTAATACACATCTTGTAATAATATACATCTTAAACTTATCTTAACTTCTTATAACCTTATAACCTGTTTCTGAAAATATACAAATTTAACATTGGTAACTAACAAGAAAATCATGAAACTTAAAGGAAATGCACTGACTAAGTGACTAGTAAAGTTACTCTCTAGGCTAGTATCAGTAATCAAGATAAGCGGACGACGTCAAGGGAGAATACTCCGTTCTGACAATGGACTAAGACCGATCATAAATTCTTGCACATAACACAGCATCAAATAATGCATAAAATATGCAAGGACGTACAGATAACATAATTAATACGATAAATAACAAGCCTAAAACACTTGCGAACATGTTGAACGTCCCCTAAGACGAAAGAAATTGGTGTCTCGGATTCGTCATCGGCATGCAAATATCAACAAAACGTGCCCCGGGAAAAGACAGGATCATCCAGACTCACTAACAAGCAAATTGAACTAATCGAGTCTAAATTACCTCCCTTAGTTAAAGAAACACAAACTACAAAAAATTACAGATTTCTAAATCTGCGCCAATAGGTGGTGTTTGATTTTTCTTGACCGCAGCATGGATTGGTCCTATGATTGGATCTTCCTGTTGTCTTTCCATCCAATCGAGTTTGTTAACTGGAAATGACTTTGGCGCCTGAAGATCGGGGATTACTTGAGTTGCAAGACAACTAACATATCCTCCATCGATCGATTCCTTAGATATCTCCTTGTAGTCTGTCGGTTCGTTGTCCAGTAATCTCGAGAGACAATCGGCATCTACGCTATGTTTCCCTGGTCGATAGTTGATGTTAAAGTTGTAATTTGCGAGTTCTGCAAGCCAACGATGTCCTGTAGCATCAAACTTTGCTGATGTTATTACATACGTTAGTGGGTTGTTACAGACCCTATGGCCCCAATAAGAAACCCCTGAATTCATTATTTCAAACCAAGATCAGTACCACAAAAAATAGGGTACTATATAGGCCTATATAAGAATTTTCAGTCGCCTGCAATGCTCCGCCTAGAAGTGAGATGTTTCCTCCAAAACTTGATCATACCTAAACATTCAAGATAGGCTACAACATAAAACTAATCTCAAATGACAGTATAAATGACTGTATAAAAAATTGCATACCAGAAATTTTGACCACTGCATTATAGGCTACCCCAGACAGAGGTTTAAAAAAAAAATTCCCACAAGGCTAAAAGAATATCTTTTTTAATCTTTAATTCACGGTGGGGTCTAGTGTCTGCTGATGACGCATTTCCCCATATAATAGCAACAAGTGTGAGCGCCTGAGTTTATTTTCCTATTAATAATGCAAAAGCAATTTTCTTTGTGTTGTGTATAGGCTCATCCTGACAAAAAAGATTTCTGATATTTTTTGTCAATAATGCAATTCAATTGAATAGTGTCATAATATACTATAGCACAAAGTTTGTAAAGATTGAACCAAGGAATCTTCCTATGTTTAAATGAAGCTATCTTCATTTGCAGGATTATTGAGTTTAATTAATGTAACTATATTTTCCTATATATGTAATTGAAACTATTATTCAAGACAAATATACTATCGGTCTATTAATTTATACATTAATTTATTAATTCCACTAAAAACTTAATTCCTCTTAATTTTTCTTCAATATTATGTACATTATTATATCATGCATAATCTATATTATGCAAAAGCATTGTGTTATGCACATGTATATGCTAATTAATTATGAATTCATTCATACAAAAAAAAAAGCGGAAGTGTAGTTTGACACAACGTCATGCCGCCCTTACCTTCTTGCCATACTAGTAACATAGTTGGGAGACTCTTCGATGAGTGGCCGATTTCCATATCAGGTCTTGATGGTATGTGATTGTGATTCTGCCTCAAGTATCCACGAGCCTGGAAAACTGTTCTGGTTTTTAAGTAGCTACGATCATTATTTTAATATGAATTATTGTTTCATATGCCATCAACTTTCTATCACCGACAGTTATAGCGCAAATTGGTTGTGCGTGGAGCAGCTGTAATAATGTAGGCCTCTATATAATTCATATTAATGAGATCCTGGTCAAGTTCGAATTTGACGATCTATCAATGAACGGTTTTTGCCCTTGACATAGGAAAAACGCGTCAAAATTTGTTTGTGAACACAATAAAGACTACAGTTTTCAACTGATTTAATGAAATTTTGTGCGATCATTTATATTGATGAGATGCTGGTCAAGTTTGAATTTGACGATCTTTCAAAGAACGGTTTTTGAGTTATTGCCCTTGACTTAGGAAAAACGCGTCAA